CGATATCTGTGGTGTGAGGTGTATTTGAGTGTATTGATCGGTAATACGTTAAAAGGTTTCATTTATGTTCTGCCGTTTTGTTTGATAAATGTTTATTTAATTCATCTTTTTTAATTCTATTATCACTCTAATATTATTTCCACTGTTTTAAACACACTTAGATCTACTATATGAATTCACCAAAAAAAAGTCAATACTATATATGAATCGATAGATTAAATAACACACTTTATTCAGCATAGTGTCTGTACACATATCATCACCTCTCGTGTAGACCACCACATAGGCACTAGCTTGACCATAAAATTACAAGGGTAAGACCGGTGGGTAATATAGTGTAGCAAACGCTCCTAACAACACGTAACTTGTTCTGGTCCAATGACGGTCTTGGAGTAGTAGCTCCTTCAAAAAAAAAAAAAAAAGGAATACACTTATGCTTATTATATAAGTCGTCCTTTTTAGGTACTGTACATGTACATACTACGTTTATTAAAATTGAGATGGACTCAGTTTATATAATTTACTTCGATCAAAGAAATGTTCGTTTGAAACTACTTTAGTTATGGCTCTCTCATATAAATATTTAAACCGCCGCCAATCATTAACGGAGGCAAGAGAGTTAGTTCAAGAATCAAGTGGTCAAATTGTCATTACGACGTTTAGTTCTAATATATAAATTATTAACGAAATTATTTTTTAAATATATATTTGAAATAATTTTATATATTCACTAGTAGCAGGCAGGCGACCGGTTAGGTCACAGATATTAGCTGGCAGGCGACCAGTTTCGAATAACTATTTTTTAAGATATGATGGAAGGGGAAGTGCGGTTTGGAAATGAGCGCAGATAAAAATAATACTACACTCCACCTTTCTTCCTGCCTTAAACTTGAAACTTCAATAACTTCAAAAATAGTTATCCGTAACTGGTTATCGACCAGTCAAAATTGTTAGTACATTATTATTCTAAATTTTAAAAGTTAGCAAAATATATACGTTACCATTTAAGTTTCAAAAGTTACCATCAAAAAACTAAGTTGGGTGGGGGGTAAAAACAAAAAACAATGTGGAAAATTGAGATCACATTGTATAAAAACCATATGAAAAAAAACTTAAGAATTTTAAATAGTAACGCATACATACTAATAACTTTTTAAATTAAGAAAAATTTGCTGAACATTTTGATTGGTCGATATCTAGTTTTGGATAATTAGTTTTCAAGTTATTTAAGTTTAAAATTTAGGACGGGAGGAAGGGTGGAGAGTCACCTAACCTAACCGTCATAACTTTTGAAATTGAATTACTTGAAAACTAATTATCCAAAATTGGTTATCGACCAGTCAAAATATTCAACAAATTATTTTTAACTCAAAAGGTTAATCAAATATATACGTTACTATTTAAAAAACTCATGTTTATACGGTTTTAACATATAATGGACGGAGTTAAAATTTAAAAAAAATTAACTACATTTTTCGCAACTAATAATCATAAAATTATAAAAAAAACTATTAAAAAAAGTCTAATATATTCTAAGTTATTGACAGAACACTGAAACCACCAACATCATCGGCAGTATAGACTGGAACAAAAACATAAAAATATGCAATTAAAAATTTATTCGGTTATTGAATATGATTATTTTATTAGATCTACGTGTAACAGTAATTTTAAAAATAAGATAACTTTAATTAACTTAATTTTTTTTAAAAATTACTTTAATTATTAAATTTATTGAGCCATCATTCAAAAAAATGAACCTTGCCCGAACACTCCACGCTAGAATCTAGCGATTTTATTAAGAAAAGATACTAGAGTCCTATGTGTAAAACCTATTGCTACAAACAAAGTTGATAACAAATCGTCTTGTGTACCAAATAAATATTTATCAGTATGTGATTCAGTAGTTTGGGGAATTGTTTCATCTGGCGGTGGCTACAGAAAAATGAAAGAAATAATGTAATTTACTGGAATTAAATGTATGAACAAATCTACGTTCAACAAAAGAGAAAAAAAATGGGCGAACGCTGGAAATCAGTTTTGTCAGAAGCGATTATTGATGCAGGATTTGAAGAAAGACGGCTGGCCGTAGAGAATGGTGATGTTACTGATACAGGCACTCCGTACATTACTGTTATTGTTGATGGAGGGTGGTCGCACAGAAGTCATGGTCATCGTTATACAGCCAATTCTGGAGTTGCGTGTGTTATTGGCTTACGAACTAGAAAGTTGTTATACGTCGGTATTCGAAACAAGTATTGTTATATGTGTCAATATTTATTGAAAAAATAAAAAACCAAACCAACACGATGGTTGTTTTAAAAATTGGGAAGGAAGTTCTCCGGGAATGGAGTCTGATATGATAGTCGAAGCGTTTAAATGTAGTTTTGAAATGCATGGAGTTGAATATAGAAGTATGATTGGCGATGGAGACTCAAGTGTTTATGTCAAAGCACAGATGCTAGATGAACAATTGCAAATAATTATAAAATGGGATTTAATGTTGATACGCTGAGAGAAGATTGAAAAAATGGACCGAAACATATATTTGGCGACCACAGAATGTGCAAAAATTATTACTGTACAATAAAAAAAGACCAGAATACTTCTCTTAGCATTGAAATGCAAAAAGTATTAGAACGTGTTGAAGATGTTCTTAAACCTCTTGTTCGAAAAGCACCGCAATTACTTACGAATGACACGAGTAATTTAGCGGAAAGTTTTATGGCACTTGTTGTAAAGTTTACCGGAGGAAAACAAATGAACATATGGAGCAGCATTCGACTTTCAATACGGACCTTATTGGGCTCATGAAACTTGGAAGAAAACTACATCAGTTAGTCCCTATTCACCTATGCGTGAATTTGCAGAAAAAAAACAGAAAAACAGTTAGAGTATAAACGTAAATCCATGTACAATAGTTTTATGAGTTGCGTTAAAAACAAAAAAATTAAGGTAGTTCAAAGTTGTGGAGAAGAAGACTATGGTGAATGTTGTCAGATACTTGATATGGACGAAGAAGATTTTAAAATCGAAAAAATTCAATTTATAAAATCCTTACAAATCACAGAAGAAGAAATAAAAGTTTTAGAGCACACGACTATTGGCCAGGCTGAAAATAGTAATTGGTTCGAAGCTCGTAAAAACCGTTTGACCGCATCAAATGTTGGGTCCGTTTGTAAAAGGCTAAAGACAACTCAATATGGTCCAACTGTCCGTCGTAATTTGTATAAAGATATAAATAACGATTTACCTGCGTTGCAATATGGACGTCTAAATGAGTCGGAAGCAATTAGGCGTTATGAAAAAGAAAAATCCGCGAAAGTTTCACCATGTGGTCTATTTGTTGATTCTAATATAGGATTTTTAGCTGCAACCCCAGATGGCTTAATAGATCCAAATGGCATAGTTAAAGTCAAATGTCCTATGTCTATTCGAACTCTTGGAATTGAATTTGCAGTAAAAAATAAAAAATCGTTTTATCTTAAATATTGCGAAATTTCTCATAATCCTTATCTCAACAAAACAAACGATTATTATTACCAGATACAAGAACAGCTTCACATTTGGAAAAAGGATTTTTGTGATTTTGTAGTATGGACGCCAAAAGACATGCATATGGAACGTATTAAGCGAGATGATTTAATTTGGAAAAAATAAAATGGAGACACAATTAATTTCATTTTAACACGATGCTCTTCTTCTCGAAATCGTCGACCCAAGACTTTGCAGAAATATGCCAATTAGAGAAAATCCTAAAGCAAATAATGTATCAAAAAAAAAAAAATAAATAGTTTCAAGATATTTAACATAATATTATTATTGTTAATACTATTATATCGTTTAAGATAATAGTTATAACATAACACATACATTTAATAGATATTTTAGTTTAAAAATCATGAAAATTGTGTCTTGTATTTTTGTTTTTTTAATTTATCACATGTGTACTAAAAATGTAAAAAATGCAATGTTAATTACTGTCAGAATATCCTTCAACATATCAAAATTGAAACTAAAAAGTTTCACATTGACAAAGAGGTCAATAACACTTGCAAGTTTATTTTCACAATTTTTATAGATAGTATAGTACGTGCAATACTATAATATTGTGTTTACTACTACAATGCATATTAGATAAATAACCGGTTTCCGATAACGAATACGACCGTGGCAATTTTTGGGAAATTCGATTTTTGTTTAAAAATAAACACAGCGGCCTGTGGTGGCTGAACAATTCATGCGCTAACTATTGACAGCGAAACATACTACACGTTCGCGACCTTCCCCCTTAATAATACGAGACAATTTTACTTATTGTCAGGCAAAAACTATATACTACTTACACATTTACTTACATATTTACAAAGGCAAAATAGTGTCGTTTAAATTTAAATAACGACTTGTTGTAGCGTGAAAAGTAACATAAGAACACCGCGCTACAACATCGAATAAAATTACTAGATTTTTTCCAAATTTCTGGCTGGAGAAACGCCGGAACTCCAGTGTTATATCAATCGGGTGAACTAGGTGACACGCTGATTCGATTATTACTGTTAACACAGCTGATTGGACACACAGGTGAAGAGTAACTTAAGCGCCCTCGGACTCAAACTTAGCACCCCCAAAAATTCAAACCCCAATCCTTGAACTGTACGCATAACACTTTAACAATGTAAGCATACCATTTTTTTTTTATTTTAATATTTTCGTTTTCAATTACTTTAATTTATATTTAAAGGTTTAAAGATAAGGATTATGTTTAGTTGGGTATATAATTGCCCCTATGATTGGACAGCAAAATAAATGTTAAGAGCACGAATTATTATGAACAGCAAAGTTACAGTCATCTTACTACGAGTACTTGCCGCGCAAGAACGGTTTTACTTAAAACATGAGAATTTGAACGCCAATTTTAAAATAATATCAACATTATACGCATATAATACAACACATAAACAAAACAATTGTCTTATATCGAGATTAAAACTGTTTATTTTTAATGACATTAAATTTATTGACAACGTTGATAATAGGAGGTGTGCAAAAATAAATTCAATATAATATTAGTACTACAAAAGAAGTTATCTTTATAGTTTTTGGTTTAAATCATACTATTTGAGAAGAAAGTAGCTGGAATGGTGTACCGTCAGCCTTAATTTGCCAAATATCGCCATCAACGGTTCTGTATCTACTTACATTCTTGTTTACATCTGTTATGAAACAAGTTCTTTCGATGACATTAGCAGACTTTATATACAAAGCTGGTTGTTCAATAGCTCTGAACAATCCTATTAAACGACACACATAGAACACATCTTCAAAATCTGGATCGGTTTTACCTTGAAAATACAAAAAATACAACATTTAGCTCATTTGATACTACTTTTCCTAATTTGCAAGACACAGGTTTACCAATAAAAACGTAATTTGTTTCATGATTAGAAATTTAAAAGCTTTAAATACAACAAATATTGTAATTTTAATTGGGTTATATCTAGTTCAATATAACTTTGTAGATGATTATGTATTATAGGGAAATTATTCGTTAGTGATGCCTACATATTACAATTTATAATAATAATAAAAATAAAATAATCCTAGTAATAATAATTCTAATAAGTGTATCTTAGGAAAATGTTTGTCCAGTATAATTATCGTTTCAGCTTTATAATTCTATTATTAAAAAAACTCTAAATTGTGTGTTAATGTGATAAAAATGAAGGGTAATTAATTACATCTTTGTATTTTATAAGTTAACCAAATTAGTACAATCAAAATAAAAACATTTAATGATTAATTGTACACTTATTTATACAAAAAAGGTAAAAACATTAATATAATTTCTATATAAATTTGATTGTATTTACTTATTACTAAATTGAGTAAATCATTTACAGCTGCACTAGTTTTCATTCTTCTCGCTTCTCCCAAATTAAATAGACTAACATCTTCAAAATCTCCTTAATGACATATATAAAAAAATAAAACATTTTTATATTAATATTACATTTTAAAGAACTGGCATGTTGCCAAATGATGTGGTTATGTTTTTTAAAAATATATTAGATTTGTCCTAACTAATAACTATAAGAGTATGAAAAAAAAATTTTAAAAAGTCTATTATTTTCTAACTTATTGACTCACTTGAGTCATAGTCAATCAATCACTTGGTACCTACATAACAATTTACAAAGCAAAACCTCCGAAAATTGTATATATAATTGTAATTACCTTCATTTATATCAAATGGATTGATATCTGTAACCAAAATATAAAATTTCATATAATTATGCAATTAATGAAAATCCTATTTTAATATAACAGTTTCCTAAAAATGGAGACTACTTGGACAAATCAATCAATCTAAACTAATTGAAAAACTTTCAACTTGTAATAGCCACATTTATATCGACGATTTAAACTGAGCTGTAAACGATCATCAAAGCTTTAAAATAATAAAACCATGAGATTATGACTTTAAACTCCAATCAGATATTTATCGTTATTATTTTTAATCACACTCTAATATGGTGAAAGGTTTCCCCTCGTGTAACTTGTTTGTGTTGTTTTTGTTTAATTGTTTTAAAATACGCTTATTTTGCAAGTTCTACATATTATTCATATTATTATATAATTTAAAAAAAAAATACGAAATATCAAATTTAATAGTTGTTTTTAGAAAAAGAGTTAAAATGTGTATTTACTAATTACATCCTCTATTTCTGATTGCAATTGAGTCTGGAAAACTATCATTCCTAAAATTCAAAACAATAAATATTTTTTAATGCACATCATTTATTATAACTGAAATGAATATGTAAGTAAGTGATTATTCTCAATATACACAAACATTTTTTCTAAGAAGACTGTGTAAGGCTTAAATACATAAAGTTTGTTAGAGTACAATATAAGGGCTCTTAACAAATTGTATACACATAAACACGTTTACAGACACCGACATGAAGATAGTGTCGAAACGCATCAGTCAGCGGGACCTATTATATCCGCCAAGCCACCACCTGATGACTTATTTTTTTATCAAAAATATAAGTTAGCTAAAAAAAAAATGTTAACTCTGTTGTTTACTAAAATTATTGAAAATCATACTAAAGTACACCACACACCATGAGGTTCGCAAAACCTTTTAAGGTTTGTTTGTGTTAGGGTATTGCTTGGTCTTTCTGAAATTAAAATAAAAACGTTTCATACTTAATCAATATGAAATAACTATGCGGAATTACTTCCATAGAATGTCAAGACAATTAATACCTGGTACTGCCAACAACAAAGTCATTATCTCTGAAATTCACATAACATGAATTATGTAATATTTAATGACATTCGATTGAGTTTTTATCATAATATAAAGGAGAAGAAGGCGTGCTTTATGTTTATTATTATTATTTGAATAACTACTATCAGCGCTAGTTGTATTTACAATATAATTATGATTACCCATCGTAAAAGTTCCTTGAATAATGTTTTTAACTATTTTCGGCAAATGAGCTAGAATAAACAAATAATAATGTTTTGAGCTATAAAAAAAAAACAAGAAAAATCTTTTAAAAAAAAAAACTTCTGATTATACACAGTTCAAAAATGAAAAAATGATTTTTTTTAAACAAATGCTATTATCATTAAACACAGTAGACGGAGACTGATTACAGGCAAATACTTCCCACTTTTGAGGAACCTAAGTAATGTCCTTTAGTCAACATCTTTTTTTTTTCTTCAAATGTTTGTTCATTTTTCACTAACTGACTTAAGTCCCAGCATAACAAACTGTTTAAGTAAAAATTCTTGTGCCGCAACGGGAAATACTTTTCGTAGCGGTTTTTATATTTACATAATTTGTCACTACACACAGAATCATATCCATGATTTTAGCAGAGGACTTAGTATCGATTTTTCTGCCAAAAATTCGCAGCCTTAGATTTTGAAATTTCGAGTCTTGAAATTACACTTAAATTTGAATAATAATCCATTGACGGACAGACGAAGATGTAAAATCACCGTATATGATTTATTTTCCAGATTAATGAACCGAGTAGAATCAAGATCTTGTGCATCTTATTTTAGTTTTCTTAATACTGTAAACTGTAACAGGTATTACTGATACGGACTAGCCACCCGTTATCTATTCGAGGTTCATTTATTTAGTTCTACCTTTGATAGCGTAGGCAACTAAAGGCAGGCTTTGCATACATAAATTAAGTGTCTACTATGTGTTAAGAACTCTGGTACTTTATATTCCGCTCGTTTTCAATTTTAAGATATTATAGAAACTACAATTCTTGATTTTAGAATTATTTGATTATCTCAGATAACATTATCAATAACATTACGTAATAGGATATTAAATATTTTAAATATGTTTTACCTTCAGCCTGCTTTATCAGTACGTCTGTAAATAGACTATATAATTGTAGTAAAACTTAAGAAATTATTATTTATGAATAAACATTTTTACTGACTTGTTTTGAGAACCTCCTTAGCATATTCATCTACAAAAAAAGTGAAATTTTTAGTTTTTTTTTTTTAATAGTTTCATACTTGCGTATAGGTTCATATAACAATTAAATAATTACCTAATGCTGCTACAAAAACGTTTGCCGAGGCAAACGATAAAATAACATATACAAATTTCATTTTTATCTGCAAATTGTAATAAACAATAATTTTTATTATTTTAGGCTCTATCACCAATGTCAAAATATCAGCTTTAATGTAGTGCTCATGTCCTACAACAAATATAATAACATCTCAGATCATTACATCTACTAGCAAAAATATCTTAGAACAAATATCGTATTCAGGAAAAACGAAAAGCATCCCCAGATGAAACAATCAATGTAGTTCAGCAAAACAAAAAACAAAATCAAAACAGATCTAATGGATTATAGAGCAAAAAAATCACAAATACAAAAATAAATATTTATTAAAACTTAACAAAATGTGCTGACATTTTTAAAAATTAGTAACTATTAATTAATAACTTAACGGAATGATAGTAATTATAAGCCAAGTACCAACTCGGACCGCTTGTTGGGTTCTTATGTCGATCGAAATAAAAAAATCAAAATAAACTTTGTCTGGGGCCGTTATAAATTTATTTACAAAGTTGTTTTTTTAATATGATTTTATATTTACATTACTTTGACGCATGTTCAGAATACTTTTTGCTTAGCTAATGATTTTAATATTACTCATTAATATAATATTTACATTAGTTTTGTATAATTTAAACCATATACAAAGTGATCATTTTATGGTTAACCTTTCAATATTTCACTGGGTTTAATAGGAATTTTTATTTTTTCTTTACATAGTATGCTATGGGATCTTGAAGTTTCAATTTTAGGACAGGACGAAAGGTGGAGTGTAGTATTATTATAGTCAGCGCGCATTACCCAACCGCACTTCCTCTCCCATCCTAACTTATATATCTCATACTAAATCATAAAAGATTTTCTCTAAATAATTGTAATCCTTTTTTTTCCATCATACTTAAGAGCGTAGTTTTGAAATTTAATGTATACAAATAAGACTAAATATACAACAGTGGGACAATAACATATACATTTTATAATATTATACAATTATCTCAAAAATCTGTAGTCACACTGATAATTTCACATCAAAGCTGCAACTATTAATACCAAAAAGGGCTTATTAGTTTCTAGTATACAGCATTATATAAAACATTGTAATCCATTTAAGTAAGCTTTTATGCCGTTTTCTAGTCAAGGCCACATAATGCGGACCAAATATCAGGCTCGACGAAACAATCGTCTGAAAATTTATTAAATAACATAAAACGTAAACAATTTTTTTTTAAATTGCAATTGCTCACGCAGCTCAGAAATTTTAATAATATATGTTTTTTTATTTGGAACTAATTTATTTTTAATCGCCAAAAAATTGTGTGTAAGCAGATTTTGTAAATTTTAACATAAACACGATATATTCTATTAAAATATTCTTTTATAAATAGCTATATTATAAAAAAAAAATAACAATTATATAATATTATTTATAATTAAAAAATTAACAATCGGCATTGAAAGTCAAGCGTTTTCACACATTCTGAACACTCTATATACTAGTGAACTATATTATTAAATATACATAGTGTTGTTATGGTTGATATTTAATATTTTTTTCATGAATGCACGTGTCTCACAAACTAACATTAAATCTGACAACTTAAAATTTGTAAAATACTGTCATACTACGCAAAAAAAATTATAAAAAGCCGTATGCACAGAAAAAACAATAATCTACTTAAAAATGTAGTTTTACAAAAATATTCATAAAACTTAAGGGATTATTTTAGTTTTTATTTGAACATAGTTGATTGAATAGGCTAGGTACAGTTTAATAATAACCGGTCAAAAGAGTTAATACCTATGCCCGGGGATTGGAACTTGTAAACTCTTCAACAATTGCGTTAGGCGATCATACCAGACGTCACCTTTGAGCCAGTACATAATTTCAGTATTTTTTAGTTGCTCAGTAGATATAAAGATGTATTTTTTTTGGAATTTGTGGAATTATACTTCAACCCCACGGTGGAATTTACAGATTGTTTTAGTTTTCATTTCATCAAAACCGGTTTAGTAGTTTAAGGGGAAAATGAGATCATACATTACACCTAAACACATAACACTCCTTCTACCTCAGTCGGGTAATAATGAACAAATATTGATATAAATACCCTTTTATCATCATGAAAATGTTATGAATGAATGTACCATAAAATAAATATGTACAGTCAAATTAATGTTTTTCTGTATATTAAGGCCATTGTTTGCATGGAGACACTGCGCTTTCCTCAGCTTAAAATATACATCAGAGCCTAGCTTCCTAGCGGTTGTACCCGGTTTCGCGCGGGAAGTGAAATATTTTACCTTATACTGAAATAAATTAATTGTTTTGAGATATTGCCTAATCATAATGGATTTATATATACTCCGCCGATTTATCATGACTTACTACAGTGTAGGTATTGAACACATATTACGATTATTCCTGAAAAAACATGGAAGTTGACTTCGTAAGGAAATTAACCGAAAAAACATATAATCCTATAATATGCAACTTTCCAAATTAAAAAAAAATTCCTCCTTACGGAATATTTTATATAATATTTTTAATTTTTTTAGCGTTGTTATGGCACTCAAAGTTTTAAAACAAAATTCTGGCTACAGGGGAGTTCCCAGTCTTCCGAAAATAACCAGATCACGTGCCATATTTGGAAAACCTTAAAACAGTCCTATAGCGGCTATTTCATTCCATTGCTCTTCTCCGCAGATGATGAAAACTCTTTAAAAGGCCTGTAAACAATCACGTAATGCCCATTAGCGCGCACACAACTCCATTGATCAAACAGGTTTTAGAACAAAAACAGCTGCTGTGGCCGAATGCCATCTTTGAACACATTTATAAACGGGATAAAAATGCGACAACATTAATATACACAATTTCGAGAGCCAGCCTACTCAATTACAAATTTGAACTAATCTGACTATTTTTAAAAAAGTTATAGAGCATCGTGTGATTGAATCAACAGTCAACAGGTGTTGAAATATTTACACTATATTGTTAATTACAATATTTGGGTAACTATGGCAATACATTTTTGTAGATAGACGATCGAACCTAATCGTGTAAATTAATTAATTTATAAACGTTTAATAAATTGGCATTATGTACAATGCGTTTATAGATTTGTATCTGCAAAAACTAGACCTCCTTTACTTACTCGCTTACTACTAATACTACCACTCACTTACGTATAATACTTTCTTACTGTGCTTGGTTTGTATAATTAATTAATAGAAATCAGATAACAATTGCTTTATTATTGAACACCGTAATATTTCAATTCATAAATACATACAAATATTTCAAATATTAGTATTATCGTTATGGTTATTGAATATTATCCAAATAATAGTGTTTAAGATTGTGAGTCATGATTATCGGTTTTTTTATGGACGAAAAATCTTTTCAATGAAATCCGCAAAGTTTATTGTTGTTTTACCTAAAAAAGAACAATTCATTTTGACATTTTTATGTCTTTGCTCTGGCACATAACTGAAAAAAGCGTTCGTTACAAAAGAGTTCTTTACAAAAGCGTTACAAAACCGTTACAGGGGGGTAGGAGATATTGGTAAGAGATAGGGGGTGGGAGATAGGAGGTAGGAGATAGGGGGTAGGAGATAGGGATGGTAGATAAGAGATATGTTGTACGTTCAACGTTTAAATTAGAACTAAATGATACATTCAAAATAAATTAAGGGCCCAAATATTGTCTAGTTAAGTTACTTTTGGGCTGATCATATAAAAATTTAGATTGGTTGTAGAATTATAATGAAAAAAAAATATTCCATGGAGCTTTCAGTTACAGCATAAGGAGATTAAAAAATTATGTACAATCTCTGGCTAATATTTTAGTGTTTTCATAAAATCTGGCTTGAAACAATTCGACCTGTTAAATTACATTGAATTTATTTTTTAATAATAGTCGAACGATTGTGAACACAATATCTATGGATTGTTTTAAGCCAGATATGAAACATTACAATATCAGCCAGAAACTTAATGTTTTAATATACTAACTTGTTACTGCTTATTAATATACTATATCATTATCTATAATTCCACCGCTACTCTAAAGTTATTCGGTATTTCAACGAGACATGAAAACGCTTTTTCGTGGTTGTAGACTCGGCCGTAAAACTTTTTTTTATTTTTATTAGGTGATGTACAATAACCGTCGCGTCGTTAGTTAAGTCATATTAACACTGTTTAAATTAACTTTACCATAGAATGCTTTCATTGATGTCGATTTAGAGTTTAAGTTTCCGCCATCATCAGGGTATACTAAATTGCGAGCTTCAGAAACAGACAAGCCACGGGAAGTAAGATTAGAAGCTATTCGAATTAGCACTGCTCGAACCCAACGTGAAACCAATCGAGAACGCAATGACTGACATCTAGACAGACATTGTGCAATTCACACCTGGCGTGTATAGTTAAGCGTTGGTTTTGATTGAGGATATATGTTTGGCAATCTCTAACAAAGGAATGGTGCGGTTGCGAATGTGTGCACCGAATCGATCTACAAACGACGCTTATGATTGTGATTTGCAACGGAATTACACTTCGATATCGATGATTTGGGTAAATTTGTTTAAATTAATCTTCCGAAATTGGTTCCAGAACAACGCATTGTACATGCCATAAAAATGCAAGCAACTACAAATCATAGCGGTGGATTGTAATTCATAGATGCTCCGGGAGGTACAGGCAAAACGTTTCTCATTCACTTATTTTGGTAACCATTCGATCGCGGAATAAAATTGCACTGACAATTGCATCATCTGGAAATTGTTGTTACACTTTTGGATGGTGGCCGAACAGTGCATTCAGCACTGAAATTGACATTGAATTTGCAAAACACTGATACACCAACATGCAATATCACCAAAAGTTCTGGAACAGGCAAAGTTCTCAAAACATCTGAACTTTCATAATATGGGACGAATGAACAATGGCTAACAAAAAAGCATTGAAGACGCTTGATCGTACACTGATAGATTTGAGAGGAAATGAACTGCCTTTTGGCGGAGCACCCATTTTATTTTCTGTTGGTTTTCGACAAATTCTGTCAGTTATACCACGTCCAACACCCGCTAATAAACTTAATGAATATCTCAAATCATCAGTTCTATGGCCACATGTAGAGAAATTAACTTTGAAAACCAATATGTAAGTTCAATTACAAAATGATTCATCCGTCGAACGTTTCGCGAAACAATTGTTGGATATTAGGAATGGGAAGATAGCAATAAAAATAAAATACTATGCACTATAAATAAGAAGATAGATAGTTGTCTTAGCTTAATATAAGATAATATACATTAGGTAGATTGAATTTCATAACCATACGGTATAATGGTTAAATTTGAAAAAAGTCTGTATGCTTAATATTATAAACACTTAATTTTCAATTTTATCTTACATTTCCTAAGATAAAAAGTTATTCATAAGCTCATTTCAAAGATCTCTTCATAAAGATACAAAATATGAAAAAAAAAAATTTCTTTAGCCACGTAGATCTCTGTCAAATGGACTGCTCAAACGGCAGAGTTGCCTAAAGACTTTAGATATTTGTAAACTGTGTTATAAAGAATTTCCAAAAAAGTTATCTTGTTAGTTATTATGGATACCAGAATTTTTAGTAACTATCAACTTAATTTAAGTCGTTAGTTCCGATAGGTGATTTGTAGAACCCGGTTCTATTAATATATGTGATGTTTAAGTTTTGTTTACTTATGTACTCAAAACTTAAAGTTAATTTATTACAATTAATTAAAAAGTTAATCTTGTATCTCACAGATACTGGGCGGCGACCGGTGTTACACCGAATGACGCGGCTATTGCAGTGTTAATGTAAAATAAAATAAAAATAAATAAAATAATAGAAATCAGATAATAACTTTTTTTTATTGGATACCGTAATACTTCAACTCATAATTACATAAAAATATTTCAAAAATTATTTATATAATTTTGGTTATTGAACTTTTTCCAATTATTATTATTTAAGATTTCAAGTCATACAACGGTTTTCAAAATGTTCGAATACCTTTTCCATGAAATCCGAAAAGTTCATTGTTTGAACACCTAAAAGAGGAAAATTCATTTTTTTTTATTAGGAAATGATCAATAAACGTCGTTAGTTAAATCATATTACCACTGTTTAAATAACCTTCATCATAAGACTTATTAAACAAATATTCTGCTTCTTCCGACTTTTCCATTGATGTCGAAGTAGAGTTTAAGTCATCCTCGCCGTCAGCAACCTCACCAAAAGATACTAAACAATCATTGTTAGCGCAAACCTACAATATAATATGTAAAGCAAATATTAATACATGCTTAAGGTTAGGCTGTGTTTAGGAAAAAATTGTATTTTTGTTATTCAAACAATAAATTTTTCCCTAATTTAAGCTACACTTATACAATTAAAAAAAAAAATCTTCAAAGCTGAAATATGAACACATCAAAATGACTTGCACGATATTTCTAAATAAAAATTGTGGATGTGTGTAAAAATGAGAGAAAAAATAATATTGGTAAATATAGGGTTTAAAAATTAAAATAAAAACATTATAATCATTAAAAAAATTTCTGGTTTGTACTGTGCTTGGTCGTTCAGCTGTACTAATTCCAGCAAACCTGTGACCTCCCCGTTCCCACTATGCCCCGTCCACTGTACTGGTTATTTAATTTTGCAAATATATAGCGGCCAAAATTACAAATTATTAGTACCGTGTTAAATTCTGTTGGAACGGTCGATAATTTATGTTACAGTTGTTTGTACTTAAAAAATATAATATTTCATGTATGATGTACTTCTATTACAGTAAACTTTTGTGTTCTGAACATAATGTACCACCCAAATAGTAAACTATATTTTTGAGTTCCAAAACACTGGAATTATAAAAGTACACTGTACGTAGACTGTTAAAAAGTTTCTTTATTTATTTATAAATAGTGGTATGGCCTGTATTTTCTTAAAAAATCCTTATTTTAAATGGAATCTTTTATAAGTTTCCTATATAGTGTATCAAGAGATTACCCCCTCCCCCCTTATTTTTGCACTTACTTCTGTTTTGATTTCCAACCAAATCAACAAGAATTCCACAGCGTTAATTTCACAGCCGACTAAAATTGAATTAAAAATTAAAAACTCTCTACATCAAGTGTACTACCTCCATGGCTTATGTGTATTACCGCCTTTTTTGTATTCAAGTTCTTTAAATAGTTCCTTCAAAAAATTATTTTGTTTTCTCCAATAGTCAAATACTTTTAATAGCTGTTGAACAGTAAGATATCCCGGTTGCTTATTAAATTCGTAGAGTTCCATAAACTTGTCCAGGAGAAAATTTACTTCAAATGACTTAAGTGTTTCAACCTGAAAACAATATATACATACAGAACTTGAATTACAGAGTGTTTACTTACAATAGCAATGACCCAGTCAATATCATAAAAAATATCTTGGACTTTTTAAAATAGTAGTTTTTTTTTAGTTCACAATTCACCCAAATTTTAATACCTACATTATCAATTAAAACAAATTTAAATACCATCCCCCATGTGTAAAGTCCTATAAACTAAAACCATCATTATTTCTAGATAAAAGGAGTGTCTTAGCCTTTGTGAATTACGTTGTATTGTGAAACATACTAACAATTTAGAATTTATAGGGTTTCAAACACACAAGGATTGAGATATATTATTGAAAACTATGTCAAACTTATAACTATAATAACAGTATGAAAAAGAATAACTAAGAAATCAAGCGGAACCAACGCAGATTAAATCACGGTTTTAATATTTGCCAATATTGTTGTTATGTATGTAATTTCGAGTTTAAAATAGTTGATTTGAGACCTTCATTACCTCGGTTGTGTCGGAGGTTTTGTCAATATCCGCCAACTTCTCTAATAAATCTTGGAAATTCGTAAAATCGCGCTTATCTGTAACAAGTTGATGAATTGTTAATTAAGGCATACCTTTTCAATAAAACAGTTGTAACGAAATCATTTTGCCTGACATACAGAGTGATCAACTTATCGTGTACCACTCAATATCACACTGGGTTTAATAAAAAAATTAATTTTTTCTTTACATAGTGGAAATAGGGGTGTAATTTTTTTTTTTTTTTAATTATAATTCCACAACTAATTTAAATTTATTCGGTATTTCAACGAGACATGAAAATGCTCTTTCGTGGTTGCAGACTCGGCTGAAAAACTTTTTCGGTTATGTGCCAGAGCTAAGACATGAAAATGTCAAAAAAAAATTTATATGAAGCTTCCAGTTACAGCATAAGGCCAAGAAGATTAAAAAATTATGTACAATCAAGTTTCTGGCTAAAATTGTAGTGTTTATTATCTGGCCAAAAATAACTTAACATAGAGAATTAAACTATTTTGAATTTATTATTTAGTTCTAATTTCAACGTACAACATATCTCTTATCTCTTATCTTCTATATCTTACCCCTATCCCTACCCGCTATCTCCCGTCCCAATCACTAACCCCTATCCCCCACCCCTATCACTCACCCCTATCTCCCACCCCTATCCTCTACCCTTATCTCTTATCTCATATCAGATAACAGCGTAACGCTTTTTTCGTTATAATTTTTTCGGTTATGTGCCACAGCTAAGACATGAAAATGTCAAAAATCATGTTACATATTAGTTCAACAAGATTTTTTCTCATGATTAAGACAATTTTTTAATGAAATACGAGTTCTATTTTACACAATTTTTAAAATTAAAAAAAAAATGTATATCTTTTATTGTAGCCAAAGAGCTTTCTGAATGTCTCATTTGAAGCTCGGTAGAATATTACCTTACACCCTGTATACAGGGTGTTCCAGTATAAAAGATCATCTGGAAGACCCCCAAATAAGCTCCCAGTTTTCATTTTTTCGTTAAGTCAAAAATTTAAAGTTAGGTAAAAAAATTATACCCTCTTATTCAGTGCAAAAAGCTAATCTTAAAAGAGGGGTCACATAATTTTCAGTCCCTTTCAGTTCGTAACTCAAAAAATGATGTTTTTTTGTTGATAAAGTTTATCAACAAAAAAAAACAGTTAGTGGTTTATCAGATAAAACACTAACAAATACTAAAAAGATAAAAACTGAAATATTTTCTACTATTGTACGAAAACATAAATAAAATTGTTTTCAAAAGGCACCACTACAAAATTGAAATTATTTTGAGGGTGAGCAAAACACATGCTGTTCGAAGGATAGATAATATGATAATTGTTTATAAGTATGTCACTTGAATTGTATTTAAACATAATTCCAAGATTTTTCCATTCCATTCCAGAGGTTTTTTCCACGATTTGTGCAATTTCCTTCTCGCTGATTCCGCCGGTAACTTCTTTTTGAATTGCAAAGAGTTTATCCAACTCTTTCAATTGATCACTGTTTAGTCCGCCGCTCTGAAATCAAAGTATAACGTCTATCAATATTGTATAAGTAAACGTGCTGTGTAAACCCATTGCCGATGACGTGGCAGATTTACACACATATGTGTTGTGTCCTAGATACTCGTTATATATTTTATTTTTAAGTTTACACTACCCGATGCGAATAATTAATTAACAGTAGGTATCACACTCTTACCCGTGCTGACGTCAAGAAATACACCACGCAGACAATAAGGGCGCTCTTGAAATGCATAGTTTTATTCGATTTTTAGATAAATAATAAGAAACCAATAGAGTACTTGTAGTATTATAGCTGTAAGACTGCCGGTATCGAAGACGAACGACCAATTAACCGTAAAATAATTTTTTTCTTTGCGGCTTCGGTGTTGCGTTGACCCAATTGCAAAAACAAACAATGTTTGCAAAAACATATTTTGTTATGGTCTTGGATATTATATTAATTGATAGCACTATGATACATTTGCTAAACAAATACAAACCGTGTGTATTTTTGTGTTATTGTACAGTTTTTTAAGCGCTGATGTTTAAAACTGTGTTTATTTTTTTATTGGTTTGAACCTAATATCCACAGATTATAATACACTGTTATAATAAATAATAATAGTACAACATTTCGTGAACATTTTATCATGAACCAATCAAAATCTCACGGGGTTTGATTAATAATTACATTTTAAACTTCCTTCGATTAATGTTGGTTCCAACCAATTAGGTTTTAGATAAGTGCCCGTGCACGCCTATTAATTGACATAACATAATATGACTATTATTCTTGAATATTATAACCTATATATTAACCAATCCATCACCGAGTAGGCCAGAAGTGTGTATGTTGGCTATTGTATATTATTAAATAGTATTGTACCTCTGTGTTACTAATTAGGGGTCTTACTATTTTTTTTTTATTCCTCTATTAATAAACTATCTCAGGCGTTACAGGAATTTCCTGTAAGTTTTTTTGTCTTTTACAAAGTTGCTTTGTACATTCCATACGTACAGTGTAAATTGTTTCAAAGTTATTTTTTCGCCTAAATGGCACGTTTTTGCAGTATAGTGGTTTTTTTCTGAAACCATATGAGTATGTTTATTCAGTTGTCTAGTCGAGCTGAATAAATTGTAGTATTCGACCTAGAAGCTGAAATTTGCATATTTTATGTGGCTGGCTGAACGATACTTAGATCAATTATTACGAAAAATGATCTCATACCACAATGGTTTAAACCCCCTCAATGAGTAAATCAAATAAAAACTAATCCAGTAAATTAAGGTCGGGGTATATTGGGAACGAGAATAGTGAAAACGGAGAAGTCAAGGTTATTCAAGTGCTATTACATAAGAAAGTGATACAATCACTTTCAAATAAATTATTTGACGCGAATTTTTGCTTAGTATAATCAAACCAGGACAGTCCTAACCAATCACAATACTGTCTTTTTTATATTGTAGGCGTGGAAAATAAAAAAAAAAAATGTTTTTTCATAGTAGTTTATTGCTTAGTTTAGTAGTTTAAATATAAAAGCTTTAAAGTAAAATATAGATTTTTTTTTGTTCTTTGTTATTTTTTTATGATTCATTCTAAACACTTGGTAACGATGGTAAAACACGAATGTTTAAAATATGTATTTGCTATAACTTATGTAAATATACAGTACTACCTTGCAAGGAAACAGGTCAAACATATAAAAACAGAATCAACCAAACGAAATATGATTAAAAAAAAAATCGTATACTAGTAAAAATAAATATACCTACTCGTTCGTAGTGACATTGCGCTGAAAAGAAACAAAGAGGTTTTTCTATAAGTTTTTGTCTTTTACAAAGGGGCTATGGTCATTCCATGTGTACACTGTACACAGAATACAATATTTCACAGTTATCATTTTCCTCTAAACGGCATGATTTGCAGTATAGTAGTTTACCCTAAAATTGTACGAGTATATTTGTTCAGGTGTCTAGATGAACTGATTAAACTGTAATATTCAACATAGATAACCGAAAATTGGATATTTGTTATGTCTGGCTAAACAATACTTAAATGATACTTTTACGAAAATATGACTCACACCACTATGGTTTTGACCATATCAATTAGTAATAAACAAACAAAAACAAAGCCAGTACGGTAAGGCCGGGGTAAATTGGGGACGGATCATAGTGGTCACGGTTATCAATCAACATTACATCTTAAAGTGATGCAATTATTACTTTTAAATAAACGCTTCGGTGTGAATCTGCTTGGCCCAAGCCAAGCACAGCACAAACCAGCACAGTAAAGAAGTATTAAAGTTAGGTGCAGTGTCCACAGTTTCGCATCGAAGGTTTATTTTAAAATGAATATATTTATTTATTTAAATAATTCTTGAAGGCCTGTGACCTCTCCGATCCCACTATGCCTTGACCCTATTCATTTGTTTTATTAAAAATGTGTTTTTTGAAGAACTTGTTATTGTTTTGGGTCACAGCAGATGTTATTTTAATCTTTGTTTACTGACTTTAGTTCTGTATTACACACATTAAAACGAAATAATGACAACATTTGTATGTTAATAATAATCTACTGAAAATTTCGAACTATTGATTGAAATATGTATATTATTGTAAAAAATCCAAAAAAATGGTTCTTTTACAATGTATTGTCGATATAATATCTGTAAACATGTTTCAAAGATTTGTTTATATTAGCAATTTTTTTTTTATTCTACGACATTTTTAGGTCAGTTGAAAAAATCTTTATCTACAAGGTTTTTTTTTTATTATGACATTAAAAGTTCTAATGTCGAAATAAAATCAAAACTGAAAAATTGTTTCAATATGCAGACGACACCTGCCTACATTTTACCGACAAGTCTTGGGATGGGGTTCGTGAAAAGGCGACTGTCGGTTTAAACAAAGTTTATCAATGTCCATGTGACAGAAATTTAACACTCAATGAAGAAAAAACCATGTTTATGACGTTCTCAATTTATAAAAGTTTTCTAAATCTTAACCCGATAACAATACATAGACGTGTCGATGCTTACAATTGTAATAATAACGTAAATAAATGTATAGTTATCAAAGAAGTAACTAGTACTCGATATTTAGGTATCATATAAAATTGTTGTTTGATTTATTTGTTTATGATGAATGAATTGAAAATAAATTAATAATGTCGGTACGTTTTTAAGAATTTTTATATATATAATATATATATATATATATATATATATATATATATAGTTCATAAATTCATAATTTTTGTTTTACAAAATATCCAATTATTAGATACACAAAATTCTTATCTTTTTCAAATCTCTGTGTGTGATAACGGTACATTACATTTTGTTGCAAAATTTGATGGCATAGGTATTATATACATATATATATATATATATATATATATATATATATATATATATATATATATATATATATATATATTTCAGTTTGTTAAATTAAATAATATTAACGTATTTATAAGAACACAAGCTGATGTAAACATTCAATTAATATAAAAAACACGTTAAGCGACTTATGGTTAAATACATAATATATACAGGATGGCCCACGAAGATTTGACAAATGAAATAACTTTTGTTCTAGTGAATATTTTTGAGATTTTTTTTTTAAAAATAATTTATACTTATTTGCGCTAGAAGCACCGTGGTTTTTATTGCACTTACACGTTTTACTTTTTTTATTTTTTTTATTACATATTTTATTTTTCATCCAAATAGTCTAATAATCAAACCTGTGATTAATTTTACTTTATTTCTTTCTTTATACATAAATTATTTATAAAAACTGTGTAGATAATAAAAATATTAATTGCACTTCTGTGAATATTTTTTAATACAACCTACCGGCAATTACGTTCAATGGGTTCTTTGTTTGGATTAAAGGCATCAAAGGTAGGCCACAAAAAGCACGTGAAATTGCCTAACCTATTGTCGTCAAGGCACCTGCGGTCATACTGACCACAGGTTTACAGCGGCAACAAGTAGAATACCTACATATTTAGTATCCAAAAATAAATACCAATTTATTTATTGTCTTACGGATGTGTACAATTAGTTTTTAAACTAACAGGTAATACTTACATTTATATTAAACAATTTGTACTCATAACAAATTATTTTTAAAAGAGATAAATAATATAATTAAAGCACTGAATAAAATATCCTCAAATCAGTATAATACATTTTAAAATTAGAAGTACTGCAGCTAATTTGTGTGTTATATAATTATGCTGTTTATTAAAATACAACATAAACATTTGATAACTTTTTCATTATTTATAGACATGAAATATTTATAAGTATTCGCTCCACCCTTACTTATACCCTACTTACTCCATATTATATTGTCTAATTTTTTTTTAATCAGATCTTATACTAATCATTTAACCAACACATAAATGCATTTTTATGTAGTCTTAAATAAAAAAAATTATAGGAATGACTTGAAAAGCATCAACAAAGGTCCCTATATCATCTTTTTAAATTCTTATTTTAGTTGTCTTTACAGACATATTCTTTTAGCTTTCAACATTCTGTGTTCTTAGACCGTTTTTATAAGTAGTAATCAAAAATCAAATTGTCTGAACATTTATTTTTACTTACTATTTAATGTTTATTTTTTTATATATTAAATTTTTTATTTTTGAGCTGCTGTTGATGCAGCTTGAACTAAATTAGATACTTTGTAATATTGACACTTTACTGGTTTGAAATAACTAACTATTGATTCGCATCGAAGCGTTTATTCGAAAGTGATTTTATCAATTAATACTCAATACAAATTTGAACTAATTTGTCTATTTTTAAGAAAATGTATAGAGCATCGTGTGAGTGAATCAACGGTCAAAAGGTTAAGAATTTCTATTATATTGTTAATTACAATATATGGGTAATTATGGCAATATATTTTTATAGATAGACCATCACAACTCATCGTCTCAACCCAAATAGTAAATTTTAATTTTTGAGAGCATTTTTTGCATAAGGTACAATACTTTTATAGATATTTGCATTTGTATCTGCAAACACTAGACCTCCCTTACTCACTCGCTTTCTACTAATACTACAAATCACTTACGTATAATACTTTCTCACTGTGCTTATTTTGGATTATTAATTATTAAAAATCAAATAATATGTTTTATTTTTTATTGGAATAATTCAATTATAATAATAATAATATTTCAATTCATTAAAACATAAATATATTTCAAATATTATTAATATTATTTTTGGTTATTGAACATTGCTGAATTAAAAGTGTTTAAGATTTTGAGTCATGCATGTTGATGGATACATCTTCATCGTAAA